AACTGAAAATAGGTAGTGAGGCAGAGGTTGATGAGGTCCGTGATTCTGGGTATTTTGATCTGGGTGTATTTGGTTAGGTCGGGTGTGTTGTGTAGTACTGCTGATATGGATTCTTTCTCTAGTTCTGGATTTATGGATGTAAAGAGTGCTGTGAACAAATCAGAGGCACACCCAGGGGATCACCACTGTCAGGATTCATAGCAGAGATTGTAATGCAGCGCCTAGAAACTACAGCATGTCCACACATACAATCTAAAGTATGGATTTCAGCCTTGAGGCAGGGGCAGGGAGATTGGAGTTAATGGCCACTATTCTTATCACAGCCCCACTCATATGGGGGTCCACACATTGGACCTGATATTCACCTTGGAACAACTAGTAGATGGTCTGAGAGTGGAAGACATTAATATCAGTCTTTTGCCATGGTGAAACTTTCTGGTCACCTAGAGACTGTAGCCATTACCACTCTTCATAGCAGAGATGGACCTTTTAAATTGGTCTGTCCCAGGAGTCCTATGGATTAGCTTAGTTTCCAGCAGGGACTTGGGGAATTTCCCAGTGATGCAGCAGGTAGCTCTGTGGAGACCCTAGTTCCTGTTCAGGACAATTTTGGACCAGTCTCTAACCTTCCCTTTTTGGGAAGCCACTGAGGAGGTAACCCAACAGTTCAGGTAATACCCAGCTTTATACCTCCACCCTGGATTGTCTAGGTGATGCCGTGGAGATCCTGCCTGGTGTCTTGAGTCTGTGGGGATCTGAATGGGGAATAACAGACTTCAGCTCAACCCTCTAAGAGTAAGTTGCTCTGGGAACTTTCCATCTTTAATTCTGGATGAGGTTGCACTACCCCAGATGGAACTTGGGTGCAATTTGGGGGTCCTTGTGGACTGATGGCTCCTGCTTGAAAAGCAGGTGGTTGGAGTGGCTAGGAAAACCTTTGCACTGCTATATGTTACGCATCAGTTGTGCCCATTCCTGGACCAGGAGGCTCTGCTCATAGTCGCTCATATCTTGATCACTTCCTGACTGGATTGTTGCAATGGACTTCGCATAGCACTGCCCTTGAAGAGCAGTCAGAAGCTTCAGCTGGTGCAAAATGCATTGGGGCAGGCAGTTATGCGTGCTATTTGTTCAGTGCATCTGACCCTTGTACTGCGTGAGCTGCATTGGTTGCCAGGATGCTTCTGGGTTCAGTGCAAAGTGCTGGTAGTTACCTATAAAGCCTTTCATGGCTTGGGGCTATGTTACTTGTGGGATCATCTCTCCCCAGTTCTATCTACCCATCCTGTTAGATTCAGCAGGAGAGGCATGCTCTGGGTCCCATCCATTAGGGAGTGTCATCTGGTGGGACTCAGGAAGAGAGTAAATATTCCAAATTCATCATACAGTGTCAAGCTTTCCACCTGTAGCATATCTCTTGATATCATTTTATGTATTTTCTTTCCATTGTCTGATATTTCTGATGTCACAATTGAATCAAATCAGAATGAGATGCCTCCTTAAAATATTTTGGATTAATAATTTGAAGTCAGAGTTGTAATATTACTGGGGTTCTTTGTGGTACAGAATTCATTCTAAGAATGAAGCAAGAATTGAGTATGAATGTAATAGTATTATAATAGTATATTCTAAAAGTATTAGAGTACATTAACATCACATTATATAAATTGTAACTTGTTTAGATTGTGTAGCAGGTTTGTAAGCAAACAAGCATCACATCACCACTGCCATTTGATTGCAAAGCCCAAATAACTATTTATCTTGGTTGAAAGTTTTGGATGAAACTCAGAAAATTATTCAATTATCCTTGACTGTTAATCCTGCTATATATTTATTGTCCATTGTTCGTTAGTTATATAAATTGATTAGCCCGCGAGGGCTGGAGCTGCCAAGACTCAGAAGCAAAAAGAGACATTACATATAGCAGGCTGGTTTGCTGGATTCTGCAGTAGCTGATCTTCATTACTAAGACTTCTTGCATCTGGGGATAAAGCAACTTATCTCAGTCTAGTCCTTGACTCCCATTGCTGGTTTCCTGAAAAAAGTTGAGTTTCTAGAGAAAGAATTATCACCATGGCCACGGGAAGCTCTGACAGCCAAGGTAATTATTAAAGAACACTGGAACACTAAAATTCATCTTTATTTGGAGCAGTGGTCCTTAAGGTGTGAGAAATCAAAAGTGTGAAAAATTAACAGCAAAGAGCTTTGAAGAACCTTACAATTAAGGACAGAAATATTCAAATCTGGTTATCATTCTACACTTCGTTTTTCCTAATAGGTTATCCTCCTCTGAATAAATATTATTCTGTGTGGAAATACTGAATATGGATGCTTAATTAATTATACAGGTGGCTGTTGTTATCCATGGTTCAATTACACATCATTTTCCGTGTCTCTACTTGGTAAATACAGACCAAATCTCATTAGCTGAGTAAGGGTTTCACATATCTGCGATTTTGGCACTTTTTTCTGTTTGGAAGAAGACTTCTGGCATGCTTTTTGTGAATGTGTATAAAGTAAATGGAAGGGTGTAAAGTATGTTTCTTCAAGACCTTATTATCTATGAAGATGAAACCTCCATGAATAAAAAGAGCCATTTGTGTGTTATTATCCTCTTTTTGGTTTATTTCTAGATTTTTGTTTATCTTTTCTGTGGAAGGAGAGGCTGCCTGAGAAGACTATACGCCCCATGGCTGCTTCCTTCCTTCCCTTCCCTTCTTGGTCCTCTCCTTGCTCAGGACAACCCAGCTGCCAATCAAACAGGCAGGGGAGGAGGAGGAAGACAAGATATCTGCCTGGGGAAATAAACAGAGCCAAAACAATGGGGAAGGAGAAATCTGAGGCATGAGAAGCATGTTTTTATTTCCCTGAGACCTGGCATGAGGGGAAAGTTCTAGCTGTTTCCCTCGGCTAGAACAAAGATTTGTAACAGAAGAGTCAGGAAGCCTATCTGGGAACACATGAGCGGAAAGGCAGAGAAACAGACTTGGACAGAACAGAAATAGAAACCAGAATGTAAAAAAGATAAAAAGACAGATGGAATTCTGTACAAAAGGAATATAGCTCTATGGAGAATGACAATCAGAGTATATAGAGTTTAACACAAAAGAAATACAGAGGTCAGCAATAAACAAATATGTTAGACATACAGAATAGAAAAATATGAACACCCAGTGAAATTGGACTTTAAGGAATATTCCAACAGAAGAGAATATCTGTAGCTCAGGGTTGAACTGTGGAGTCCTTGG